GTGGTGACGCATCACGCGACGACCCTCCGGCAACTGACATGCCACTGATAGACACGCCTGTCAGTCCGCGTGATGAGACGGCTCAAGATCTCGGTGGGAATCTCGGTGAGACGGCTCAAGAACTGCGAATCGAGCGGATCCGGCAAACACAAGATAAAGAATCGTGGATCTCAAGGCTAAATAAATATCTGGTCGGAGAGATCCGAGGTCTGACACAAGAAGATGCTTGAGTGTTTGGATCTATTTCTATAAATTACGAAGTGGATCAGTCGGATCTACTCTTCTACTGCCAGATGACTAAGGAGACCGCCACGGATCGAGACAAGTTGATGCGATTGGTGGTGCCTGAGACTCTTCAACAGACCTTTTTGCCATTTTGCATCACACCACCCGAGCTTGCATGGTGGCCATCAAGGTATCGGTCGTACCTACGATCGGATCCGTGATCACTTTCACTGGAGAGGGCTGTATAAGAGTCTACAGCGATATGTGGGAGAATGGGTTGATTGTGAAACGGGTAAAGGGCGACCTCGGATCCAAGCTGAGTCACCTGGTGACCTTCAAGCAACATACCCGTTCCAGATCATCGCCATGGATCACATACCTTCGTTGGCTAGATCCCTCAACGGCAACACCGAATTGCTGGTCTTCGTGGATCTATTCTCGGGATATGTGATCGCCAACGCCAGCGCCTCTAGATCCGCTCAGACAATCGCTGAGACTTACGAGGAATGTGTCTTCCGCCGATTTGGAGCGAGCGAGGTGATCCGACACGATCGGGAGCCAGTCTTTATGTCTGACAATCCACTCAAACAATCGCCGAGACCTACGAAGAATGTGTCTTTCGCCGATTTGGCGCGAGCGAGGTGATCCGACACGATCGGGGGCCAGGCGTTATGTCTGATTTCTTTAAGTCGTTCAACAGGATCCTGGGACAACGTCAACGGGCCACTATGGCATATAGACCCCAAGCTAATGGATCGGCGGAACGCTATGGTCCAGACAACCACCAGGGCTCTTAAGATGTATGTACAAGATCTGGATGAACGAGATTGGGACGAATATGCTGAGCGGCTCACCTTCGCGATCAACACTGCAAGAGATCGGATCCGAGGTGAAACCCCTTTCTACATGATACATGGTTGGGATCCTAGATCCACCTTGGAAGCGACGATCCCGGTGGGGAGTACTCGCACGCACGATCGAGATCCAAGACGGTGGCGATATCGGATGCAAAAGTACTATCAACAAGCCCTAGAGCAAGTGAACCAACGTCTACGCGAAGCGATCGGGCAGGCGTGCATACTGATCTAGTACGTCCTCATCCTGTAGAATCTTGGATCAAGGGTCAGGTTATACCTAGATCGAGTGCGTGAGGATATGCAAAAAGCCGGCGCATTTTTGGCATGGGCCATTCCGCGTCGCTGAAAAGATCGGGGAATACGCAGTGGGGTTGGAGGTTGGAAGTTGCAGGATCAACATACCGAATTTTCCCGGTGGTGCAGGATTGGAAGATCAAACTGGTCAAGATATTCCCAGATCGACCAGTAGCTCGTCTAAATGAGTCAGAGGGAGATCGGGTGGACATCGATGAAGCTCTCCTACCTGAAGACAGCTGGATCCAGGATCGGGACCCGGATGAATACGAAGTGGAGCGAATTTCCGATATGAAGACTGGCAAGAGAACTAGACATGGACGGATTTACCGAGAAATTCTAGTACACTGGCGTGGATATGAAGATCCAACCTGGGTAGATGAGGCAGATCTCAACTGCGGTGCTCTTCTCTAAGAGTTCTTGCGAGATCGCGCTAATCGCAACCGGTTTAGTGTGATGCAGTCTCATGAAGAACCGTGAGTTCTAGACCCACACTGACGAGCTGGTCATTGGTGCGGCTGAAGGTCGATGGATCTGCAAGGAGGTTGCCGATCGAGGGACAGGGTTTACATAGCGTTATATAGGACAAGGTGCCGATGGAGGACCTATGTGGAACAAATTTGATTAAGAAGTGGATATGTGAGCGAACAAAAACGAAGTCCAAGTGTGGATCTAGAGCGATATTATCTGGGCAATTGTGAATCGGATGACGAACGACGAGTGTCGAGGTGTTGGAGTAAAGGTCTGCACCAAACAACACGAAAAGGGACTTAGCAAGATCACAAGATGTCAACGAGCCAAGATCAGAGAAGAAAATGTAATGTGTATTGCGGTTATCAGCTGCGATCTAAATGGAACGCATGAAGATACGGCTGGATCACTGCTGTGAGTGTAGTGGCTGTGCATTGGGGTTCAAAGCTGCCATGTTGAAAAATTTGCCCGCGAGGCAGGGGTTCCGGCGGGCTGGATGGTCGGTGTGGTGTAGGTGATAGTGAGTACACCAGCGATTGGCAGCAGTTGCAGTCAGTGAGATCCTCGATCAAGGTGGCGGCTAACGGCGGTTAAGCTGTGGATCCGCTAGGTTGGCTCTGGGAGCCTCGATCCCGTGGTTTCAAGTCACTTCGTCTGTCAGCTTGGGGAAGTGTAGGAAAAATGGATCCAGTAGCAGATCCAAGTCACACTTACCCTCACGCATGGCGAACAGGAAGAGTTCCAAGATCTTCTTCCCCCGAGCTCCTGCATGCGACCGACGATTCTTCCCCTCCACAACGAACTGAGCCTGGTAAGGATCGTCACTGATCTCGGCTGGTGTAACTGGGAAGCGATGTGTAGACTCCCAATGAGCGATTAAATCCTGGATCGCGACGGCGGAATATAGCTGAATCAGGAAACCCAAACGGTCATCGACGGTGACCTCGAAAGAGATCAGCTGACCCCAGCCAATACATTCCACGGGAGAGCCAGAATTAGATCACGGACGTTCTGCGTGGTGATTAAGTCGCTACAATATTGATCCCTGCGAGGTGCAGTGGTTCGAAGAACCCGATCTGGGAAGGTCCATTCAGCGTGAAATGGCACTGAGCGAGAAAGCACGTCGAGGGTCATCGTCAGGATGGTTAAGTTGTTGGTCCTCTGGATCATCTATGTATCCACGTCTGCGAATATTGTAGAGACGGGTCTACCAGCGTCCTGGGATGCACTCGTGATCCGCGGCGAACAGACGTCTAGGGAGCGTAGTACTGCGGAGAGGTACTCCAGCTGGATCAGTGGGCGAACCCCCACCACCGCCATCGCCACTTGATCCATCACCGTCTGAGTCACCCCGGGATCCCGGATTTCTTGCACCACCTGAGGCGTCACATCGCGGAGAAGTATGGTCCCACCTGCGCTGGTCCGATCAGGATCGTGAGAGGGCCATTAAGGTCTGAGCCTGCAACATCTCATCCAATACCACGTCGTTCTCTCCTTCAACCGAATTCTCGGGAGAAGTGTCAGGATCCAAATTGTCGGCGTCGTCGTGAGCGGTTGCACCTCTAGTAGACTTGGGATTTCCCTTTGGGTGAGAGGATCTGGACTTGGAGCTTGACTCAGAGGTTGGGCCCCTTTGCCGTGGGGGTCAGAATCCCCTGATTCACCTGGTTCCTGCGCCAGAACTTGAGGATCACGAGGTGGGGAAGGACTTGCATCATCAGTACTTTTCCTGGAAGACTTACTCAAAGGATATTGGTCTTGATCGAGATCTTCATCGACGTCGGAACCACCACCCATGTCGAAGTCATCCAGATCTTCGTTCTGGCCCAAGTCTCTCTTGTGCTCTTCAGTGATGGTAGTCTTACGTTTTGAGGGGCGATCTGTGCCCTGAGAAGGTGAAGCATCACGTGACCGCTTTCCCGGTGGGAGACCTTGACTCTGATCATCGGAAGACGACTCGTTGGATTCATAGCGCGTGGGAGTATAGTCCGAATCTCGGTCATTTGACAATGGATCTGATTTCGCCTGATTCTATCACCTCTCCTTGATCCGATTTCTCCCGATCCGACTCTGTGAACGTATCGCTGCAGACAACCTGTATCGCCTTGGTTCAAGGCACCAAATGTCACCTCCCCAAACCGCAACTGCTCAAAATACACCGCAAGACACCCCAAGAAAGTCAAGAACTACATTGTGTGTATTATCCAGTGTCCAGGAATACTGTGTGAACATGTTACGACTACGATGGAATGTGAATCGGCATGAGACCAACTATCCTGACCTTCAATAGTCTAAAACGAGCCTCATCTCAGAGAATTTGGGCCTCATTCCAGACATCACAAGCCTGATTTCAGCGATTATCGATTACCAAAAGCATTGCCACACTAGAACATCAAACCTAGATGTCCAACGACTGTGAGTGGTATGTGAGACCAAGAATCCTGTGGATAGAGGACCAGTTTCCGAGCGGAAGAGACGACCCGAAGGCGTGGAGGTCCAAGGTTGACGACAGCGAAGTGCACCCACCCTATACAAAGGCCAAGTGAATCCCCCAAAGGTATACAGAACACAGGATATTACCAGAATGATTTAGAAAGAAGATAGCCGAAGTATAAGAGTGATAAACAGAGTTAGGTTTACCAAGTTAAGCGCAAGTCGAATTCGTTCGGGGACCCGCTAGCGAGGGCGCGTGCTGAAGGACGGCGCGTACTTCTTCAAAAGCATCAAGTCCTAATTGCCTGTAGGGATCGGGCGGGACGACGTCGTAGCGTTGATCCACGGCATTCCATTTCCCAGTTGGGTCCACTGAGTGAAGGTAAGAGTGAGGTTCGCATTTCATGCTAACGATTCTGCTTGAAGGGTTTAGTAGTCCCCTACAAGTTTATAAGTAGACTGCATTTCAGAGATTTGACAGTATTGTATCCCTCTTAGAGGGTGGTGCCCGTGAAGAGAAGAGTGCGCTTCAGACTGACCAGTGTCTAAAGCGTATACTCAGGCGACTGGTGATAGACCCCTGTTTAAGGGTCTCAAAGAATAAGTAACGACTGTATATTTGTATATTTTACTCGTTTGGCTATATTACAAGGGAGTGTCTTCTGGGGCTTCGTTCCTAGTCTAATAAGAGTGCGTTTCAGACATTAGCCTTCCAACCCGACACGCTCAGTGCCTACATTAACCACCAACCCGGCAGGTTGTCAGGCTGCCACCAAGATCGAACCCAAAGGGATTCACAAGGGCCACCCGTCGACCTTGGAGCGTTTACGTTCTAGGGTTTCTGACCCCAGTACCAGAAAGTTCATCCATTCTCTGGACCCCCTGGGCTACCGCACTATACACTTGCGGCGGAAAAGGTTCACCAACCTCGCCACATTACCACGTGAAGTTGCTATCCGACTTTGGGTAAGTCCAAAGTACCAGGCCGCTTTAAGTAGCGTGCATGTCTGTCGATGAACTAGATTGAGACTCCTGTTCGCCCGTGGTCAATCCAAGAGAGGTAGTGTGTGGTTTGACTGAGTATTAGCTGACGATCAACCTATCGTCGAAGACTGGACGTGTAATCCCAGTGATTATTACCATCGGACCAAGAGACCGACAACTCTGCTACTGGCTGGAAAGTCGACGTACCCTTCCATTCTGAGGGACTGGCAGAGATCAAGAGAGTGTGTGATAGG